CGGATAATCCGCTATTCATGTCCAGGACAAGCAGTCCCATATTTATGAACGTCAATATATAAGCACTGGGGTGTGCTCGCGCGTAGTTTAGGTACGTCCACCAGTGCAGCGCTGGCGGCCGGCGCTTCGCGTCAGCTGCTTCCGTCAGCTGATTCTCTGTCAGCCGGTCGAGAGCAGAGAGGTGTGGAGAACACTGCGGCAGCCACAGTGGCGACAGTCGCGGAGAAGTTGAAAGGGTTGACAGACGGTCAACAACAACATCAGTTATCAAGATAACGTAGCGGCCATCAGTGCTCCTCGTGATCTTCAGCGTCCGGGTTCAAACCCCGAGGAAGTTTATTCAAATCAACGACGATCGGAGTTTCAATCTCCCTGTCGTCCTCATTTCATCATCTCCAGGAGATATCCACCCAATTGGATATCACCATTAGTATAGCGCAGCGCACCCCGCGTGAATTCTACGATATCAAGTCTTGTGTCTTCATTTATCTTCGAGGCTCAGAACCTCTATCAGCGAGGTGCGTCCGCCACAACATGTATGTGCGTTGAAGTCTCCCCGATCACAAGGCCCTTCCCCAGGCATCTGCTATATATGAAGGACGATACTGACCTGCAGAGTTTTCGATTTGTGTTCATTGATGAATGTTCGCAGTCAACAGATATGACGACCCATTCATCTTCTCCTCTGTTTATAGTTGTCGCCGTCCAGGCTTGGCCCTTCTCTGTCCACGAGACGTCTACGCGGGACGATGTTAAACATCCTACACCCCCATTGGCTTGTCTTCCGGACGATCCTCTTCGGTTGCTGCCGTTCCATGTGTATCCGTGGATTCTCGGCGGATTTTCCTCGTTCAAAAGTCGTGTTTCGCATACTAGGACCGTGTCGACATTATTGCCCAACATATCTACTTCTAGCTGCGACCATTGTGACCTCTTCACTCTTGTCCCATTAAGATTGATGGCCGCAATCGTGATTGTGGACTGTTTTTGCGTGATATCACGCCTGTGGGGACCTAAAGTGGGAACTGGACGTACTAGATGATAAAGTCTAGTTTGAATTGAATTGAATTGAATTGAATTGAATAGCTCCTTTATTGTAAAGGGGGAGGGTACATGCAGTATCCGAAAACAAATAGAAAATATCACAGCCCCTGGTTCCTAATGGCGTGTAATAACAAGATATTCGGGGGGCCCTGGGAATGTGCTAACTTGGATATCCTCCATGCGAAGAGGTTGTTTACACGTTCAGTTCTGGAGACGAATTTAGGCATGACAGTACAACCACTTCTACGCGTATTGAGCCTGATGTCAAAGAACAGATCCAGCAAATCGGCTACATAGAGCTGTCGGAGGACGCGGAGATCATACTTATCGAGAACCTCAGACATGGGGGGGGGGTTCCAGTCGTGATACGAGCAGCGAAGAGATAACCGCCTTCGGAAATAGTTCTGGACCCCATCGATTAATTTACGAAGATGAACGAGGGAGGGCTTCCATACCGGGGCACAATACAGGAACCGCGAAAGTACCAGCGACTTGAATAGGCGAACATATAAATCTGGTTGTCTGACGACAAGGCAGCGAAAGATCGAGTTGACAAGCGCTTGAGAGGAGCGTACCAACTGACATACATGTTCGCCGAAATCAAGATCCGGGCGAATCCAAACCCCAAGATCTCTCGTGGAGGGGGAGCAGGAGAGAACAGCACCGTCAAGCGAGTAATTCCAGTCGAAGCCGGATCTGAGAACCACTGTCTTCTCATGGGACAGCGACATACAATTATCGGAGCACCAGCGTAAGACGCCGTGGATGGCTTCCTGGAGACGAACGCAATCGTCAGCCCGCGAAACCGATGACCACAGCTTAAGGTCATCGGCATAGAGCAGGTAGTCGATATCCGGAGGTAGATAGTCGCCTATGTCGAGCAGGTAAATGGCGAAGTAGCAACGGGGAGAGCGAGCTCCCCTGCGGGGACCCACTTGAGGCAGGGAAAGGATCACTGCGGACACCGTCCACCATTACTCGAAAAGAACGATCTCTAAGAAAAGACTCAATCCATGCGACGGTGGAGTGGTGAATGCCGATGGTACGCAACTTAACGAGGAGACGAGCATGGTCCATCCGATCAAAAGCGCTACGCTGATCAAAGTATATACAGTGCAGGTGTCGTCGCTGATTGAGGATGGAAGCCCATTTTTGAGTCATAACAAGAAGTTGTGAGCAAGTGGACCGGTTTTTGACGAAACCATACTGTTTATCGTCAAGGAGGGAATTTTTCTCAAGGAAAGAATAGAGATGTGAGACAATGATCTTCTCAAAAATCTTACATGGAACAGAGCCCTGAGCAATCGGGCGATAATTCCGAGCGTTATCCCGCCTACCCTTCTTGAAAATCGGAGTGACGACGGATTGACGAAAAAAGTCGGGAACAACCGAGTCATTATACGATCGCTCAAAAATTAGGGCGAGTGGTTCCGCCAGAAAAATGGCAAAGCGTCGCAGAAAAATCGCAGGGATGCCGTCGGGGGTGATGTTAGCAGTAGGCATCAGCTCGCAGAGGAGAGAGTAGACTTGAGACTCATCGAAGGCAAGAAACGAATCAGGGAACAAGCTTTGGCGGGCTGCCGACCTAGGAACTGAACTGGGACGTCTCCCGTGGATAAAGACGGAAGCGAAATGTTCCCCAAGGACTCGAGATTTATCACTTGGATCAGTAATCCGGAGAGAGTCGACTTTGAGTGAGGGTATGTGGCCGCGAGGACGCAAACGATTGTTGACATACTGGTAGAAAGACCGAGCGTCTCTGAAATCGAGTTTAGACTCGGTGAGGATACGGGGTCTTCTTGAGGCCTTGATCAGTCGATTGCTGAAGGATGGGTCATTGGGACCGGAGCGAGCAAGGAGGCGAGAGATAAAGGCATGAACCGAAGTCGCGTTTGAAGAGATATCAAAGGGGGGAACAAATTCGGAGATGAGGGATGAGCAAACATCGATGAATTTGATATACATCTGCTCTACGGAGAGGCAGTCAGCGAAAAATGCCTTCCAGTCAATTAGATCCAGATACCCGGCAATCGCCATCGCGTCCATGCGACGAAAATCTGGCCGTGAGGATATAGGCGGAGGAGGTGGGGAGAGGTCCAGAATGTCGAAGCGGATGGCAAGATGATCTGAGGGAATAGGCGGGGAGACAAGCGAGATGCGGTCGAGGGCGATCGGGAACATTAGTAAGCAGCAGATCAAGGATGCCTCCATCTCTATGCGTCGGGTGATTGATGAGCTGCTGTAGATTGTTGTTGAAACAACAGTTAGAGAGCAGGCTCTCGGGCGAGTCCGACACGTGCAGAGGGAGCCTAGACCAATTGATTTGCGGAAGATTGAAATCCCCCAAAACAACAACAGGAGCATCGGCGGATGACAAGAGGTTGATGGCCGAGCAGGCCATGGCCACG